TACACACCTTTCCCAATTTTACACACCTTTTGAATATACACACCTTTCTATGCTACACACCTTTTGAGTATACACACCTTTCCCAATTTTACACACCTTTTGAATATACACACCTTTCCCAATTTTACACACCTTTTGAATATACACACCTTTCCCAATTTTACACACCTTTTGAATATACACACCTTTCTATGCTACACACCTTTTGAGTATACACACCTTTCCCAATTTTACACACCTTTTGAATATACACACCTTTCCCAATTTTACACACCTTTTGAATATACACACCTTTCCCAATTTTACACACCTTTTGAATATACACAACGTTCGACCGAATAACAGTATATTACACACCTTTATCGTGCAAATACACACCTTAAGGCGTGCATGTAAAAATACACACCTTTATCGTGCAAATACACACCTTAACCTGTGTAAAAAACACGCCTTAAGATGTGTGCATTTGGCGACAGAAGGTGCGTTGAACCTTATATTTTTTAGAGTGCAACACCAGAGCACACTGCACACAATGAAGAGAGGATGGGGAAGAGGACTAAACGCACGATCATCACATATTCTGAAAACATTAGACGTCAAAACTTCAGAAACATCCTCCGTAATTGTCACTGTGATTTGAGAAATATTTCCGGAAAGCATAATGTGGTAACACGCTCCGATCCATCATTTTGCCAGATGAGATATTGAGGTTATACTTATAGTACATATTCCTGTCCACTGATCTGATTCCAGCAATCTTTAGAAGATAAGCTATACAATGATGAATGGACTAAAAACACATGCATACCATGCAGTTTGAATTTAACGCAATATACTGATAACCTAAAGTCAAACACAAATTTAGACTATTGCATGCGTAGCTACATACCTTTTGATCAGTAATACATATAATAATCCTACTTCAGTTTGTCGCTCACTGTAAATTCATAACGTCTGATGACCTCGCCAGCTCGTTGCAATTAGTGATACTACTTCACTATATATACCATACCCGACAAAGATTTCAGATTTTTGAATACCGCATTGGTCAATTATAAGACAAAAAAAATTCGTCTGAGCTGCTGTATATAGACAGGAGACATAGCTGAAAGATAAACCATATCTACTGGTGGAGTGGATGGGGAATTCGTCCAATGGCAATGTTCTTCAGAGTGAAACTATATTAGTGAATTAAACCCTTAATTGGCCTTGCTCACATATTGCTCACACTGTTAAACGTGATTTATTAAGGCCTTTACAGTTTCATTCAAAGTGCCTCCACAATGCAAGAAATGCCATTGCAGAGATCCAAAATTGTGACTTCACAAACGATTAAATTGCACCTCCAAAATAAGTCCTGACGCGCCACTGCCCTTGACCTGTTATAGATATACTAAGATAGTTTTTTACACCCTTCAGTCCAGACAGTATCATGACGTATTTAATGTCTCTAGTTTCTCGTCGTGAAATTTTAAAGTGCAACTTTAAGAGGGGGGCGCGTAGGTGCCGTACACTTGATTCAAAATGCGAGCACTGAGAAGATTCGATTGCCTGGAATTCGACATTTCGAACGAAGAGGTTCTAGCATGCATCCCTAATCTGTTTGAGCTTCTAGTCTGTGCTTCTAGTCTTGGTAAACTGGAGCAGGGTAATGAGAGTAAATTATTCGTGAAGAGGGGATAAATAGGACGAAGAAGCATACAGCAGAAGAGACGGAATGTTACTAAATTCCGGACGAAGAGCTCGAAGCATCGAAGTTCTTTATGTATTTTTCAGGTAGTTCAATCTTCAACAGTGCTCGCAACTTTAAGAAAACTGAACTTTGTGCTAAGGTCTGGTGATAACATACAGATCGACCTTTTAAGATTGACGTTTGCGGCACGTGCACCGCTAACCGCAAACTTCAAATCGCAGATTTGCAAGTCAGTTCAACAAGTTTTAGACAGCTTAAGCCTGGTTTCCATATGGTTGTAAAAATAGCTAGAGTCACGATCTTTCTCAAGGGCCAATTTATAATAGTTTATACCTGCATGTAAACCACATATAAATCATAAGCATTCTTTAGTTCTAATCACATACTCCGCGTATTTTCAGTTCTTAAAAGTTGTATTTCGGCTGATGAGAAAGACCGCGACTCAATCTTTACGACCCTTACGACCATATGGAACCAGGCATTTGTACTACACTAATTCATGCTTCAATGGACCATTCCTCAATTAACCAAAATTTTGATCTCAACAAGTCTGGACAAAATTCCATCATAGCATGAAAGAGCATCACAAAATTAGTAATATTCCAAAGTTTCGTTGCGAAATGTTGTAAAATGCGGATAATATAACCTTGCGAAATTTGCAATTTTCAGTCATTTTAGATTACAAACGGGAAATGGTTACCACTTTTCCAAAATTTTGATCTGAACTAGCCTGAACAAAAATTTCATCACAGCTTGAAAAAGCATCACAAAATTAGTAATATTCCAAAGTTTCGTTGCAAAATGTTGTAAAATGCAGATAATATAGCCTTGCGAAGTTTGTAATTTTCAGTCATTTTGTATTACGGCACAGAAGTGGTAACCATTTCCCGTTTGTAATCTAAAATGACTGAAAATTGAAAATTTCGCAAGGCTATATTATCCGCATTTTACAACATTATGCAACGAAACTTTGGAATATTACTACTTTTTTGATGCTCTTTCAAGCTGTGATGAAATTTTTGTCTAGACTTGTCGAGTTCAAAATGTTGGTTAATTTAATTGGGGAATGGTCCATTAATAGCCTTTCTCACGCCGCCATTTTTGGGGTACTGCCTTTTCCAAATCTGAGATTGTGCGCAGTGAATAAGGGATTTGTATATATAACTATAATTGTGAATAGAATCATTATACGTTAATCTACAGTTACTAATATAGTTTGAAAAAATGTTTTCACATCGTTAAGGGAGCGGTCATTATTTATGGGGGGGGTGGCACTGAAGAGAAAAGGGTTGGGTAAACTAAATTTTAAGTAAGTAGAAGGTTGGGTAAATAAAAAAGAAAACAACTCAAGGGTTGGGTTGGGTTGTAAAATATTATTGTCATTTCCAAAGCATGACTCACTGAAATATTGGAGACTGAAAAGCAAAGTCAACAGTCATATGTCAATACAATAAGTGAATCAATCAGAGTCACTATCTTGATAATTTTCCGATCTGTTGGGAGACAAATGGTGTCTCCAAAGAAAGTACATGTACATACAACATGAAACTTTAGTTATCAAACTTGTGTCACAGAAGTGGTAAAGGACATGTGTGAAAACTGAATGGTATCGGTGTGTGAAGTTTTTGGCCAGGGTGAGTATTTATTTTTTAATTGATATTTGAGGTTGGGTAATCAAATATTTTAGCTTTTTAATGGTTGGGTCAGCAAAATATTTGCCACGAAAAACATTTCTCTTCGGTGCCACCCCCCGCCATAAATAATGACCGGTCCCTTAGATTTTTCACGTCGTTTTCAAGAAAGTACCCCCGCAAAAATGGCGAATTTGGCCTTCGTGAGACAGGCTAATTGGAATGCACAAAATGTCCAAACTTCGAACTGCTACTCATCAATTAATATTAAACACAAAACAGGCTCGATATGACGTTTTGGCAATTACAATGAACAACAATGAGATGTAAAATGTAAAGTGAAATAGAAACTTGCATTATACAAATTACAATACTGTACAAATTTATCAAAAATTGGGGGTTGTTTTTGTCTGCCTCAAAAGGACCGAAAAAAGAGGCGATATTGAACCAACTTGCGTCATCCTTAAACTAAAACGTGTTTGCAAGCGAAAAAGTGATCCTGTTTCGATATTCGGTTATGACACGAGGAAAATATCGTATAGAGTCGACTACCGCTTCTGTTAGACAAGGAAGTCATTCGTTCTGTCATGTTTGCGGATGGTCTTGATACTGTTTGTCTGAATGAGACCGACCTTGTCCCGTGACATGCTTTCTTCGAAAATGACGAACGTGACATGCTTTCTTCGAAAATGACGAAATCAGTCACACGAGTGTCTGCAGAGGTGATAGCTCTTGAATCTTGGCTTTATCCCAAACCACGTATGGAGAATATATCATACAGTGAAAAGTTAGTCCAGTCAATTATGATTAAAAGCTAAAACCGGTGCAAAGGATAGCGACCATACTGATTACGATTCTTTTGTTTTTGTCCACCAAGTTGTTGGCTCTATAGCCACTAAAACGGCTGCATTGTTTTGATATAAGTGCATGAACTATTGGAATACTGATGCCTAACATGGCAGTAATTATGTATAATTATAACATTGCAAGTATTTTATAAAATCTTAACTATACTTAATTATCATGTTAGACTGATGCCCAACATGGCATGTAACAATTACCTTTCGAAATTAACTGTTATAGTAATGATAATTATGTATAATTATAATATTGCAAGTATTTTATGAAATCTTAACTAACTTATCATATCTAACATGGCAGTAACAATACCGGCTTTCGAAATTAACTGCTATAGGCTCACTATAGTAATGTATAATTATGTACAATTATAACATTGCAAGTATTTTATGAAATCTTAACTATACTTATTATGTTATATACAGTGCCTAACATGGCAGTAACAATTACCTTTCGAAATAACTGTTATAGTAATGACTAATGTATAATTATAATATTGCAAGCTAGTGTTTTATGAACTCTTAAGCACACTTATTAATTATGTCGGGCACCTATTCAGAACAGTGCTAATTGTATAATTAATGACAATGTTGAAAGTTAACCTTAACCACCAGTAAAGTTTTCAATGTCAATGTCAAGCGCACATTTTTACAACAGGTTTACTGGAGTTTGGGGGCAAGTATATTTTCGTACATATAGCTGTTGTGCAATTTTTCACGTTTTCTCTTACAGACCGGAATTTTTTGCTCTTGACAACTACTCTCGTATAAGCTTACAATCAGTACAGACAATATATATATAGCACTAAAAGTCTATATAATCTCGAAACCGATCACACTTATATCATACATTACACAACACGAACACTGATTCAGTAAGATTTTTTAATTATAGCAAGAAATGAAGGTGTTTTAACTTTGACAAAGTTTTTAAGGCAGTATATATTTTGACTATAGTGACTCTATATATACTCTGGAGTAAGATGGCGGAAATTGACGTCCAGTGCCTAGTCCCTTCGGCTATGATTTTTGTCTGCGCGGTCATGACACGAAGACCAAAATTTTCGTGTTTTGACTTCGATTTAAAGTATACGATGAGCTTTATGAACTGGTAACTTGATTAGCGATACGATCCGTTAGAAAAGACTAGAATTAGCTGGGGGAAATTATATCGAAACTATAGTTTACGACCTTCATAGATTTTGGACTTTTCAATTTCCGCCATTTTGCCTCTTTGCTTCACTTTGCTCATAGGCCGAATGACTGACGTTCTTGCTCCAGATTATAAAAACTTGTTTTCTGCCAATGACCTGCAAAAAAATATCAGTGCTGACTAATAATAATTACGGTTACCCAAGTTTTTGTATTCGTTATACTCCCGTTATTTTGGCTAACAAAATATGGTTGTCTGCCAAAATAGAGGAAATTATATAATGCCTAATGGGAATATGTTTCACAAAATATCCTATATTTTTCTTCTCATTTTATCACTTGTGTTTTTTTTAACTTAGTTGTACCTTGAAGGCAAAAAATATGTAATGAATTGCTAACCTTTCATTTAATAACCGGCGAATAATTTATGATATAAAGAAATATTATACGTACTATAAATAACGTTGTCGTAATTTCATTTTCCACATGGACCGTTCCGGTTTCCTCTTTTTTGAAGCATTTTCCGGAATGTATGAGTTGCTTTTCAAGTATTTTCAAGGAAAAACTGGCAAACGTTTAGTGTTGGGAAACCTAAGCAAATTATTCCTAAGGGCTAAGGCACCGTTAGTCGTTACGTAGGCTAATTATAGTTTTCCAAAATATTATTCGTTTCGAGCATTTTTACTGCCCGTCTTCAGGTGATTTATTTATTATGCTTTGCCAATTTCACACAATCTACACAATTAAATACCAATACAAACACAAGAATATACAATCATAGCAAGGTATATATGCTATATACAGCTTACGCCAATTACAGCAGCCTTAACAAAACGAACATGACACATCCTTCATTAGATCTTTAGTATAATATAAAAAGGCCAATTTGCACCCAGAAAACCCAAAACTCAAAAGGTTCGAAAATCTTACTATCTTGCATGTTTTTTAAAAGTATATAAAGATAATATAATAAATAGTTCTTATTTCATTCTTAATCAATTTTTAAAAACAGTGAATTAAAACTGTATTTGTAGCACATTGTAATTTAGCTTAGTAGCTATTTAATGTGTAAATTTCATTTAATAAACTGCGTATCTTAAACCTTGCGAAACCATATTTGGATCATTTGAAAGTTATATATGTCGAGTCACAGTCAAAAATGTGAACGGCATCGTTAAGCGGTTACAAGGTTTAGGGTATCAATATTAGGCATATACAAATATCGCCTATAATTTATGAGTATGTCCTATTTATAAGCCAAATGATGTAGGTGACGCGAATATCATAACTTTTCAAATTGTAATAAATGATAAGTTAGCGAGGACACGACAGGAAACTCATAAAAGAGAACTATATACAACAATTTATACTCTATAGTCTATACAAATAATCATGAAGTTAAAAACAGAAGGCTTTCTCGTAAGAGAAAAATTGAGCCACACAAGAAGTTATTTGAAGGATGTAACTTATACCTGAAATTATATAGAAAATATCGCACCAAGAAAGGTCCCTCTCTACAAACATCGACGTTTTCTTCCTATATTTTTTCTTTTCAGCTGTCTGAGATCGTGTTGATGATCGTATAGTGTTGTTGACAGATATATAAGTGTTCCTGTCTCGTTCAGTAAGGGCCGTCTTCCGCCTCATATTTCCCATTGGTTTCAAATTTCACATGACACTTTCAACTTTTAAACAAACTAAATTTGAACTAATGCCCCGGTCAAACGAGGACACGAGAGTTGACTAATCATCAAAATTTGAACCAGCTGACGGTCGACAAACGTTTAAACGCGAGCGAGCTATAGTTGGAACTCTCAATCAATTCTTATTCTCGTTTGACCGCAAATAAAAAAATTAAAGATGCTGTAATGTCCGTTCTGCGCATATATTCTGTGCATCAACATATTCCATCAGTGGGGGGAGCAACCTTTGGAATGTTGACTTTCTTGAATTGAATCCCTAGTCTGCATTCATTTACAAGCATAGCGAACCGGAAGAGTGTTAAAAATTCAGTATAATATATATCTAATCATATTTTACAACTGTAGCACTGAGTTCAAAATGTAAACAAAGCGTTTGTTTACATTACGGACTTTACAACAAATAAAACTGATTAAGTAGCTATGTATTTTCTTGAATTCTTCTCTCATAATAAAAAGGTAATATCAAAAATTATCAGTCGAAATTCACGAAGAACCAAGTTGCCGGAATATACAACAAATGCTTGTTGAAATTTTGAAAGCATGTTAGTTAAGTTAAAAATGGGTTTGTTGTCTCATGTTTTGTAGTCATCCCTGAACATTTTCAATTCAATGCATTAATGTACAAGAAGTTGCAACAATTTTTGTTCCTCGTGAACGAATACATGTACTGTATGTACAGGAAGTGAAGACATTTTCATCAGGTAAAGGATGAGCACAAACAATAACCTGAGTAAAGTTTATGTCAGATTGAAATTGAAATCCGATATTAAACCAGAACTGCAACAAAATACGACGGTGATTTCATGCTGTTTTTGATTACGTAACCTGGCATGCAAGAGACACGAAGGAAAACATATGGAAGATAAATTAATCTATAAATTTAAACACATAAACACAACATAAATTTGGATTGAAACTTGAAATTTTGGTAAGAATGGATATACAAGAAAAGATTGTTTAGCTATGAGGAATTCTGATTTGCCTTCACGACAAAATATCTATTTTAATGATTAAGATAGTTCGTTCATTAGTCGGCATTTAATACTGCACAGTCTCGTTGACAGAATCCACGTTTCTTCTGAAGCCGCAAACCCACAAGTCAAGGAACCCAAAGAGGAATGCGTAAACTGCAACGTGCAGCAGGAAGAATTAATTTAAAAAAACTTCACTAAGAAAATATCACTTTTTCGTTAAGTATATTAAAATACATGCTTAAATGCATGCATGATAAAAATAGTGAGAACAATTACAGCGGTGGCACCGATTGAGTAATTTAGGTAATTTAGCCCAAATTTTCATCAATTTTCACCAGAATGAAGCAATAAGAAGCGAATAAATCTTTCGTCATTCCAACGTAGTCATCATTAGACTACCCAAAAGAAGAATGTCTATCTTTTATCATGAAGGTCATTTTCAAGTGGAACAACCACATGATCTCTTGACAAAACGTCTCAAAGATAATTGTAAGATATTGATTCTATCCACGAAGTACTACGGTAAGAATAAATACTAAGAGGTAATCTTTCGTCAGGTTTACGCGCCCAACAAAAATGTCTATATTTCATCACGAAGGTCGACTCCCAAGGTCCCCAAGTAGAGTGACAAAACATCGCTTATTGTAGGATACCGTGAATCTGACACATTGTTCAAAAATATGAAGAATTACACTAAGCCTGGTTTCCATATGGTCGTAACGGTCGTAAAGATTGAGTCACGATCTTTCTCATCAGCCGAAATACAACATTTTGGAACTTGAAAATACGCGGAGTGATTAGAACTAGAGAATACTTATGATTTATATGTGGTTTACAGGTATAAACTATTATAAACTGGCCGTTGAGAAAGATGTGTGACTCTATTTTTACGACCCGGCATTACCACCATAAGGAAATCAGGCTTAACAATAAGGCTTAAGAGACATCCTTTCTTCATAGACTGACGAAGTAAACACATTCGTCATACTCATAGACTGACAAAAATAACTAGAATGCCTATACTTTGCACCATGACTGGTTGACAAAACATCTGAACCATAATTGTAGGATATTGGATCACGAGGGAATATTAACGGGTATAATCTTTCGTAAACCAGGCCAACTGAGCCGTCGTCATGGACTGTCGAAAACAAGACTAATGTCTATCAAACTTGTTTGACAAGTGGAGCTTTAATACCAACATCTCAAAACTATAATTGCACTTGCACGATATTGAAGTACTGCGTTTGGAATATGTCTGAGAGAATTGTGTCTTATGCAGAAACTATTGTCAACGTACACGAGACCGTACAAAGGTAAAACAGCTGTGTCCAAAACAACAACGTCTACTCTTATGAAGTTCAAATTCTTAAGTGCATGTGTCTCGACATCATGATGAAAACATCTCGAAAGCTGTATGCTATATAGAACGTATATGAAGTGTTTAGGCAGGAATATACGCCTTTGAAATTTGCGACCTCATGGGAAGATTGGACAAACCGGAGAGGCATAAAGGAGTGCCGGCCAAGTGTATTATGCAACAATCCAGACAACGTTTCAGCGGCTCAGACTTTATCGAACCTTAATTAACATTGCCCACAACGACATTTATTCGCCGAACTATTTCACTGTATCATTCTGATCCTATACTTAGAAGGAATTTTTCTCATGGACTATGTCTTATGAGAAAATTTACACGTCACATGAATTAACATTGATTGGAAAAGAGTAATTTATGAAACTTTGCAACGAAAAAGGCTGTTGACAATACCCAGTATTCTAATTGTACATTAGAAGGACAATTCCTGACGAACTACGAGAACAATGGATAGAATTTAAGAACAATTAATCTATTGACTAAATAGTATTGCCAATTTAAGCTTCGGCAGAGAACGAGCTGAAAGCCTGAAACACTTGAGCCCCGGATCAAACAAGAAATTGGCCAGTCACGCGATCTTGCATGGTTAGCTGTTCTGAATGTTTTCCCAACACTATATCATGTATTTTATTTTATTTAAGTTAAACGTATAGTTGAAACACTCGAGTTGAAAATATCAAACCGTTATTAGTGTTAATCTCAGAGCTTCAAATGTCGCCTGCAACACAGATTCGTGACTGCCAAACCTCATCTCAATTACTCTCATTCTCTTTCGACAGGGGTTGTGAAGTGCCGGGAAGTGAGTCATGCACTTTATTGAAGCACAAGGGTGGCCATCCAGAAGGGCCCTGCATAAACCAGGTTTACGAAAAGAATACCTTGCCAAATATAGGCCTATATATGGGGTTCTCCAGGGAACAAAACACCTATATTGATAATCAATTAGGGATAAACATCTCCCACGGATCGTGAAATCAATATCACAAGAATCAGTCTTGTGCGTCACTCGAGAGAATATTGCAAGTGTGACTTGTATATATTGAGAATAATACTGATTTCTGAGAAAATTGCCCCCAGCATATAGGCAATTGTGAAATCAAAATTACTAGAATTCTTACGAGTTTTACTCGACATGTCACGCGCGAAGGATATTTTTGAAAAAGAAAAACAACTCCATGTTACTAAAACTGGCTAGAAAGATTCATGTATTATTTCTTGGAATAAATAACATTACAATTGTAACAAAAGATAAAGGTAGAGAATCAGTTGTACATTGACGTTGGTTGATATTTGTTTACTTTAGAATCCATTCACGAGACTAGTATACGAAACCACGTTTTAATACTTTAACTAATCGCATACGTCTTAAAAAGTTAAAAAATAACTATAACATGCTGATCTAATCTATTTTAGACTGCTATAAGCTTTATCAACCCACTCGACAGTCAAGTTTACCCACGGTCTGTGGGAAAAGGGTCTAATTGCGATATTTTATACTAAAAGCTACGAAACAGATTATACACACTATACCTACATGCAAGTTTAAATACAAGACTATCCAAGGCTTCGGCATTATTATATTTTATCATATCTCAGACTCAGATAATAACTGAGTAGTAAGGCTTTTATTAAGTTCATCACGAACAGTGTGAATTTAACATTTTTAATTCTACGTTTCGACCAAATAAATGCTTAGTCATCATGATGATGAGGGATTACTTTATAAAGAATTTTCAACTCATTAATGTCTTTCATAAATACAAGTGGAAACAAGCAGACGCTACTTAATATATATTATTTAAGTTATGTCAAAACCAGTTTTAAAGACTGTAAATTTCAGCTTTATTTCAAAGTCATCCATATGGCTTACGTAAGTAACTTTATCAAAAAAATTTGTATTACCTATTGTTTCTCATTACAAGTCGAAACAAGAAGACGCTACTTAATATATATTATTTAAGTTATGTCAAAACGTCACGCATGAGAATTTATTTTAGCCTAAATTTAATCTCGGTGTCGCGACATCGTTTTCCTCATCAAATGCAATACGTAATCTTCTAAAGCGCTTTTTAATCCTTTTTGAAATCGGGAATAAACAGTATAAGCGAAGCGAGATGGTTGTCTACCGAGTACCGTATATAAATTTGCTGCTCTTGAGCTAAAGGTGCTTAGACGAATTCCGTGCAGCGATAATCGAGCGAGGCTTACATTTTCATATTTCAATTTGAGCACAGATGAACGGCGGTTGTTATCTAAAACATACAAAATTCTTTCAACCAATCGTGTGTAATATTGAAGAAATGTTTGTGTCTAGATACTATTCAAATAAATCAAGCACCCTGCTGTGTTGTCTAGACAGTCATGTGATCTTGATTACCCAATCAGGTGTTCGCGTTTAAAATATTCCAACCAGCCAGCTATCAATAAGAGGAAAACAGGCTTTTCATTTAATTTCATACTAGAGTCTAGACAACCGAGCTGTCGAAACGCTGCTTGCTTGTACTCAAAGAAAACGTGGCTATCTCGCCTTCTATTCAACTAAACGACATCCCACTTTGGTTCTGAACCACTGTGAGAGCATTAAATCTGTTCATGTTCAGACTACAGCGAAGATATTTAGTTCAAAAAATTTGGAGCGCCAGAGAAATCTGTATTGGCGATCAAGTATCCGCGAAAGCATTTGGATTCCTAAAGGAGGCTGTTCACAATTTCCTCGGTGGTTTAGACTTGACGTCGCTGCGTCGTTTGGCCAAGATAGTCAGCGAAAAGGATTCAGACGCTTGCCTAAGTGTCAACCACCTCAACCCGGCTGAATTTTGTATACAAAAGCAACGATATTTAATCTCGCGAGTCTGGCGTTGGCCCGACTTGAAAGACGGCAGCGAGTTGAAGCACATCGAGGACAGTAGCGGCGAGGAGGGTGAAGCTGGGATGGGTGACTGCCTGTGTGTGAACCCGTTTCATTTCTCGAGGATAAGCAAACGCGGTAAGTGTATATGTAACGTGTTTATTGCCCGAGCTTTGTGTCTCCGCACACCGCCGAGACAAAGCAATCCAAAAGCAATGTTTCAAAATAATACTTTGCATTTGCAGAAATCCCGTATCAAGGCCTTCGTGGAGGGAGCAAGTCCAACAAGACGACCCAAGACGATTCAGGTGAGAATGTATAAATATACGCCTGCGAGTACTTTCTGAGCGGAAATAATAAAATGCCATAAATCGCCAACCGAATTTGCGAATTTGCATTTGAGAGTGTGCTCAGCTATTGAAATGCTAGCTGACGGAGTAGAAGTAGCATGTCCTATAGACTCAAGTATGTTATTGCATCGTTTCTAGGTCTATCTTGTGGAAGCGTCGACACAGAAAGCAGTCAGAAAACGAAAGCTTGCCAAGGTAAGGATTCAGACATTTACAGATTTAGTCTTTGTTTGATCTTCCCAAGCCGCCAGTGATTACAAAAAGCGTTTCCGAAATAGATTTTCCACAAGTCCAACATTGACCGGATTTGTCTGAAGTGCGCAGCCTCGCCTTGTCTGATGGTTTTTTTATATTATGGTACAGTATAGCTCAAGAAAAGTTGACGAAACTGCATTATTATGCCACTCCGCTTTGACTACTGTGTTATTTTTGTTTTGCACCTCGCGTCCCTGCCGGTTTTCTCTGTTGTGTACGAATTGAGCTAGACATGACAGCCAAAGGACGCCATTACACCAACTTGCACAAGCGTTTGCATGCGCCTCGTCTTGCAAATTGCCTAATTTTGCCGTCCCGATCTTTTGGTGAGTCCAATATAAGCGTGTCTGAGCAAGTATAACAGTGACCGAACACCTAATCATTTGCCAAGACGATAATTCATGAATCTCACTTTGGCAAACACCACGGACAATAGGCAATGAATATTTAGCAAAATATTACGATATACACGCTAAACTCTGCGATATAGCACTTTTACCTTTAATTATAAAGTATCACAGACAAAGCCCAAGAGGTTTCACTGTGAACAATGCAATAGGTATATGGCAAAATATCACAATCCCAACCTAACTGATTTCAAAAGCTTTTGAGAGCACAACAGCCGCGCGTGCAGATAGTGTTACAATGCGCGAAATATCTACATATGAATCCTTAGCGTCTGTGATCATTGCTATCACAACGGCCTTTCTCTTAATACACTGAACATTTTATAGACAGTTGTGGTAAGGTGTAGCGAATGTCCTTGGAAAAGCACATAGATTATTAATGTCGCCGGTTTAGTACAAAAGTACAAATATATGAATCAAAATAAAGGCAAAGTACAAACATTGCCTAGTTCCCATTACAGCAAGCTTCGACGATTATTTTGGCTAGTTTGCCGTCTGCTTTTCCTAAGTCGTTTCCTCCAAAACCGGTTACCTAATGAGTAATGTCTAAGCCCTTAAGAGACAGCGTTCGTCGCCAAAACACGCACTAACCTCACCCCGCTTGAGGAAGACACAAGGAAACCCTAGCCATGTTTTGGCGAAGATTTAGTCTGTTTTTCAAACTAAAATGGATGTCTTTTGTTGCAGTTTCAACTTGTACGAAACGGGAGCAAGCACGGAAAAGACCTTGGTTAACGTTAGCCTACTGGGAACGTGAACAAAGAGTTGGCAACATGTACCATGGATATGAAAATACTATAAACATTTACGAAAGCAAATCTAAAGGTCACAGGCATGGATTATGTTTGAAAGACCTAAACAGAACTTGTGAAATGAACGATAATACGAAAATTGCATTCAGAAACATTGGGGAAGGCATACAAGTTAGCCTTGAGGATGGCGATATATGGGTATACAATAAGTCCCAATCGCCAGTGTTTTTAAACGGGGAACTATTACAAAGACTACATCATACAGACACGCCAAGAGTTGATAAACTCCCGAGTGGTTATGGTCGAAAGGTATTCGACTGTAATGCTAATGTTTCGACCAGACAAAGTTTGGATAAGAGACGCGAGGAACAGCATTGTTTAAGAGTCAGTTTTGTGAAAGGCTTTGGGAGAGGTTATAAACGACAGACAATCATGAACTGTCCATGTTGGATTGAAATGTTTTTCACCCTTCCTGCATCGTGATGGAGCTGGGATACAGGGAACTGTTATGGTGCAAATCTTCCAGTAGAAACTGCACTTGGTGTACAGCCATGCTAACTGGTAAAGGCGAATAGCTTAGTTATCTGCTATTGGTGTATATAGCCCAGTTATTTATGAGAATTAAGAAACCTCCCTGAAAAAATATGAAACAAGAGTCCAAGCATAAGGTCTTGATTACTTCATTATATATAGTCACATAACCACATTCGTATGCGATTAGACACGATTTGTGGGTATACAGTTACCGTATGTTACTCTATTGTGCGCTAATCAAGATTTTTTACTTGGACTTGTCAAAAACTGGGGAACGCTTTAGCGAGACAGTATATTATATAAGCGAGACTTGTACTCAGGGCAAGGCATTTTATTGTGACAATACATAATACGAAATTCACGGTTTGAGAAGCGGAGACAATGAATGCTTTGAATATTGAGAAATAAAATCTCTAGACAAATAAACCTGATGCCATTATTGATCTGTATACAATCTGATACCATCAGCTGGCAAACCAGTTAACCTTCAAGGGTGAAATTTTCCGAGTTCTAAACTCTTCAAATATAATTTCTAAACAGAGCTGGTTTTCTTTTGCATATATTCAAATCTGGTTCATAGCTGTCAACGCATGCCTTTTCTCGCCAAATTATTAAAAATTGTGAATAGACTGATCTTACCTTTTATATATGAATGGCTATTCTATAGGAGGTCACTCAACGTCTGACGAGTCTGTGGAAAAGAGAAAGTTAAGATCAGATTGTTAGAGAGACTAAAAATCGGTCCGATTTGAGTGTAGCACTGGTATATGTATATATGCATATGTTTCAAGTTGTAAGCCTCTCAGGGTAAATTCTATACTGTTAATGAAACGTTTGGCACAACATTTATATAGTAATAGTTACGGGAACCGCCGAGTATTTTTATAAAATACAAAAGGACAGTAACTCCAAATAACATTTTGTAGCTTTAATGAATCTACGTTTCGACTATATTTTAGTCATCATCAGGACAGATGATGACTGAAATATAGCGAAACGTAGATTCATTAAAGCTGTTATTTGGGGTTACTGTCCTTTTGTATTTTATATTGATAGAATCAGTTACTTCAGGTATATATTTCAATGTGAGCTGCCATCATACCCTATTTCAGATTGCAAAACCAACAGTACTTAAGTTAAACCATTGCTATTTATAACTTCATTTCGACAGAAATTCAGCCAAGACATTTTTTCTAATTAGGCAAAGTTTTGCAGTCTTTCTGTCGTGTTGGGAACTATATATTTGACCTCGTTACGGTATTATTGCTTTTACTTTGAAGGAATACTTATGAAAAATTGTTTTCAACCGTTCAGACTTATCACAGAACAGACTTTATAGAATTCACTCTGCACCGGCAATCGACATTGTATGCATACCAAAATTTATTCTCGAGTACAAAGGATTGGGTTTATAGCCACAGGGCAAATTGTCAGGAAACCAGTGGTAAACAGACAAAGAGCATATGCCCATGAGCGGTATTGTATCATCGGTCGTTAGCTGGAGTATAGATTGTGCACTAGATCTTACCATTACCGAATCAGCAACTGATATTTGCCATTGGGGGCGGCAGACAATGCGAGACAAGAAGCTACTTAGATCTCAGAGTCGTTAAAAGCTTGAGTTTCCGCAATCGTCTGGCTCTCGTGTCTTCATACGTCATAGGCGAATATCACAGAATTTCTTGTTTTGGCTTCAGATACATCTCGTTCCGGTGTAAAGGGGGGAAATATGGCGTAGGTTGTCAAGGTTCCGGTCGCAAAAGGAATAACTTTATAAAACGATTGCTATTTTCAGGTACAGACGTAGCTATATTGTTATTCGTGCAAAAAAAAACCCGTTTGGTAATTAGAAAGCCCCTCTTTTTGATATTATAGGCTCGCGTCACAGTTCTTACATGTCTGCATGGGCTATCTTCACAGGGCTTCTTTCTTTTCGAATCCAATAAGTAAAATCTAACTGTCTTTCCGTATAATCTACTCTTCCTAGCCTATCTGCTAGCTTGTAACTATATTATAATACTTTAGCCTGTCTATTGCCTATCATTACAGGTATAATTCCTCACGAAGCTTTGAGTTAATTAATCAAACTTTTCTGCCAAAGGATCAGAAATGTAACCTAGCTTCTGTATTCGGACCCGATCGTACCAAGGAACGGGCCCTTGCACGCGGGAAGTGCTAACGATTTATCGCCACGAGACGTACTCTGCAACGAATTATTGCGGTAATTTCCAGACAGTTTAACGGTTTGTAATCTATTTGCGTAACGTCTTGAGATTCAAGGTGTTTCGCTGACATTATGAATATAATCGTTGCGATTATTGACATGAAATCGAGGCTGCAGAGATGGGTATCATATATAGCTTTGCAATTCGAAAATGCATACCAAACGAAAATTAAAGGGAGATTTATAGTCAAAATATGGCTAAGAATTTGGCTGTGGCCTATTTGCTGGTGGTTGAAAATAAAATCGTGCTAATACTTGTTACGGGCAAAAAAATTCTTCAACTTCTAGCAAATCAATATTTGAGTGCATGTTACCACAGATATCTCGAGAAATACAGCAGGCACGTTGTCTCGAATTTTGTAGTTATGTGGGGAACGTTATATTGGACACGATTTCAAAACAGGTAAAATTAAAATTGAAACTTCTAGTCTAAACATGATAAGAAATTTTAGACAATGTTTACATATCTCGTTGGGATTGTAAAGGCAGATCTATTGCCTGTGACAATATATGTACGAATGCGAGCGAAAAGAGAGAGGTTATCTTACTATGAATGAGACACAATTTCCAATAGGTTTATCTATATTATCCACAAAAGGGTCAGCTTGTCTATTTCGACACCTGCATGTGTGTCGGTTGTATATATATGATATCAGTAATGACAATCACAATAATAGAAGAACATATCCTAGCCCTCGCCACGAACATTCTATGACATCGAGAGGGGATTGAGATGCCCTTATTTCTCTCAAGAGTACAAAAAAAAGCTTCTATCGCTGCCCTTCATGCAGCCTATTTTGGTTTAAAAGGCTAGACACCGCTTTAACCACGGCAATTCAAAACACACATCTCAACATCTGGCAGTCTCGTACGGTTTTCATTAAATGCCAAAATATTTCTGTCTGTGTTTGCAGAAGCAACATATTTGTCGCCGAGGTAGAGATGAGCCACACGGGAGACGGGGTGTTGCAACACGCAACGAAGACTGGACGCAGAAAAATGAACGTATATAGATCGCGTGCAACTTTTTCCGCTTTATGACGAAAGTCGCAAGCAAGTTGCGTCGAACTTAATTATATCACTAATTTCCATTCTAATTTGTCTTGTCTATCACGCGTACCCGCACAATCATCTTTTGAATTTTTACACGAAATCAAAAAGCTTTTTAAAAAATGACCTTGAACGGTTTCCCTCAAACTGATCGAAGGGGCAGATTACATGAAACGTTTTTAGCGCGGACAGAGTTTTATCTTTCTAGCGCAGAACTGAGTAGCAAGCTTCATGCCAAGCTGTTTAAAATCCGCGAGCATCGTCGCATTGGCATATACCTAACATTTGCCACATAAACCCGCTGGGCTGTCTCTGTTAGTTGTCCGTGTTCACCCCCAGGTTGTGACACAAAGTGACAGGTATGACATCAGACTTTTGGTTTCGGAAATCAAGTTTGCAAGGGCGTCGATCCCCGGGGGTGCTTCCCTCCACTTTTTGAACATTCGTATATAATAGTCTGCTACAAGTTTCGTTTTTTGGTCGGCTTTCTCCCCCCGTTTAGGAATGGACTGCTGCCCTTGACTCCCTTGTATCTCGCTGTTCAAGTTGACTAGTGTACCTAACATTGCAACGTAGGCCTGTCGTGCCGTCTCTGTTAGGTTTCAGTGTACACCCCTGGTTTTATATACAAGGTGACATAATAAAATTAATATTGATCGCGATTGGGTGAGGTGTTCATGATAGTTCAAAATTTAAACTCAGAGTTCGCTTCAGTTAAAGATTAATGCTTGGATTTAGAGTATAAAGGTTTATAGGATTGCCACATTCTTTTAACGATCTTCAAAAAATAGCCGCCATCTTGAAAACCCCTTCTCGTCCGCCCCCCATCCCGTCAATTTTCCCTGTGACATCAGATTTCGGCTAACCCTATAACCCAATGACAGCGAGACGTGGATAACCCGAAATAAACACTTGATTAGGGGCTGTTGTCGCGCTGAAAACGAGGCAACGAGCGACGCAGCGTGGGTAAAATATTTTCATTTCGATGTGTTTTTGATAGGCGATGTTTTGCGACTGAAATAATGTTACCCCCATAGGAAGAAGTCATTTGAATAACTATACGTCTGGCAACTAAATCAACAATTATGTCTACGCACACATGGCGGCCAATCCTACGTATTGAATAACAACGCGACATTCAGACTTCATTAAAATTCATTTCGGGCACAAGTCACGAAATCCTATAAGATTCGTTTCTCATAAAGCCATTTACAAGATAGGATTAGTCTCACACTTTCGATTTTGACGTATGAAAACATTTAAACACCTTTACGAGGTCTTGGACAAATCCGTTTATAAAAATACACCAAACGATTTACACTACAATGCGGCTACAATGCAGCGGGGAAAATTTCCATACGGCAGAATAATAATAATTTACGACATGGCAAAACAATGTGAACCCTTCAGATATTTTCAATTTGAAACCCGTCTCACTGACAAGGCAATGTTATTACCACAGGGTAACATTAAGCAAATAATCGCATTGTAATGCAAAGCAAATGTGTCGTAGTCACGAAATCCCAGAGCAAGCTTGTCAACACCGAAAATGTCACAGCCTATAATTACTGGGATTAATGGAAATTGATACGATATTTAAATAGAATACGACAAACTAAAACATAAATGTTGAAGGTTTTGAGAGGAAATTGAAAAGAAATCGAAAAAGACAGGT